TTGAAACAGAATGGAATTCTTTCAAGAGTAACCGTAGTCACTCTTAATGACTGACAGTGTTTTGAATAAACGGATTCACTCTATTGAAAATAACTTAAGTGGTACAAATAGTATGTCAGCTGTGCAAAGAAAATAATTAGAATTGAAATTCAGGGCATTCTGTTTTATAAGTGTAAAAGGGGAAACAAACCTTGGTTTGAATGTTGCCTTAATTAACCAGGTTAACATATCTCACCTTTGCCTACCCGATTATACACTCTATAATATGGGGGATGGGCTCTGTATTTTAGGGAGGAAAAGCTGGGAAATAAACAAATTCAGAAGAACAGCAGGAGGGAGGGTGGGAGAGATAGCAACCATTGCAAGCTGATTGTGCAAGCAGGCAGCTTACATGTTATTGGCCAGAAGCTACCAAGTTCCCTGTTAAAAGGGAGTGGATTGGTATTTGTTGAAGGCCTGCTATCAAGATTTCACATATTTTTTCATTTAATCTTCGCCAAAGCCCTTTAGGTAGATACCATTACCAGATTCATTTCACACATGAGGAAACTGAGCTTAGAGAGGGTAAGCTACTTACTCAGAGTAACAGGTATTAAGTAGTGGACCTGAGATTCAAACTGTCAACTCCTTCTTAAGACTAGGCCCGCATCCTTTCCTTTAACCTGTATGCCAGAAGCCACTGCCAAGTACTGCTAACACCTTAAAGCAACCAAGTATCAGCACAGTGCTTTCTATTAACAAGTTGAAATTACTGAAATCCAACACAAATATTTGTTGAGTACCTACTGTGTGCCAGGCACCATTCTAAGTGCCAGGATATAGAAGTGAACAAGACAGATAATGTCTTTGCCTTCATGGAACTTACATTGGAAAGCTATGCTTTCCAATACAATAACTATGGCCACTGTGGTTATTTAAACTTAATTCAAATTAAATAAAATTTAAAATTCTGTTTCTCAAGTCACACCAGCCACTTTTCAAGTGCTCAGTAACCACATGTAACTAGTGGCTACTATGTTGGACATTTCCATCATCATAGAAAATTCTACTGGAGAGTGTTGGTAAGGCATCTAGGACAGTGGCCAACACATTTTAGGTGTTAAGTAATGATAGAAATTAAGTGTATTTGTTGTGTCACTAGGCCTTTTGTTCCCCTATATTACCTGTTCAACCACCTCTTTATTTTTTATTTTTAAAATACTTTTATTGATTTTTTAGAGAGAGAGAGGAAGGGAGAGGGAGAGAGAAACATTGATCTGAGAGTGAAACATCGATTGGCTGCCTCCTGCATGCCCCCTACCAGGGATCAAGCCCGAAACCAGGGCATGTGCCCTGACCAGGAATGGAACCAACAACCTTTCGGTGCACGGGATGATGCCCAACCAACTGAGCCACACCGGCCAGGACAGCCACCTCTTTATTAAATGCCAGCACCACCCTTGCTTTATTAAAGTGAAACCATGCACTGCCAGGGTTCTCATACACTACCTCTTTGCTATTTAGATGCATGCATTTGTTCAACAGATGTTTGAGTGCCCACTGTACTTGGGGAGGGAGTGGTGGACAGGGGACGTAAAATAACATGATCAGGAAAGATCACCTCCTGGGGAAATGGACCTATAGGAGTGAGGGAGAACCTGGTGCTTGAGGGTTCTGAGACCCCAGACAGGGAAGGGAGTGATTCTGGTGGGGATGGAGGTGGGGGTTGAGAAAGAGTGGAATTTAGGCTTGGCCTGGGCTCTATCATGAAGACAGCTGGCCAGATAGAACCTTGGCCTGTGACATACTACCCAGAGTCAGTTTTGTATGTCATAGTTTACAAAGCACCCTCACACATGCCCATCTTAGGACACTAGGGGAAGTGCAGGGCCTGGCCAGAGCCCTCACCTGGGTGACCTGGTTAAAGCCAGGAGTTCGACTTGATGTTGGGTTCCTAACACACTCTACTCCCCTCTGAGGGTGGGCAGCTCCTCCTGAAAGAAGCCCCCTCCCTCCCTGACCACCCTGGGGACTGTGTTCCACATGTAGGCCTACCAGGATGGAGGGTCATGCTGAAATGGAGATGCTGAGGACACTGAAGGGGCCCTCCACAGGGGAAGTCAGCGTGCACCTGGTGGCCAGAGACAGCCCAGGTTCCGGTCCTCACCTGCCCACCACCGCCTTCATCATTCCAGGTTGGCCAAGTCAGGGTCTGGGGAGGAGGAGCATCCCATACCTGCCCAAGCAGGTGTGGATCCTGGGAAGGAGATGATACTTTTCACCTTCCTACACACATGCATGGCAGGATTGGGGCAGAGCCACCAGGCTCACCTGTGTTGTGTCTGTTCGTGTATCTGTTCACAGCCAGCTCTGCCACCCTTGGTCTGCCCGGCAGTTCCCTGGATGTGTCCTGCTTTCCAGGGGAACCGATCCATGTGGGTGCCCCACAGCGAGGGACCGGGAGCGTACCTGTCACCGCCACGGTTCTGCCGCAGTTAAGCGCGGGGCCGGCGGCCAGCTCCAGCTGCAGCACTGTGCGGCTTCTGGAGTGGACGGAGGCCGAGGCCCCGCCTCCTGGGAGCGGCCTGCGGGTCAGTGCCTCTGGGGACTGGCCGGGCTCAGCCAGCCGCAGCTGCGGGGTGGGGCTTGCGGGCCCGGAGGTGAAAGGGGGGGGCTCCCCTAGCTGTAGGACTCAGTGGGTGGGCTTGGAGTGAGGCACTCTGAGCTCGAGACACGTGGGGTTCTAGAGACGTGGTTCGTGGGGAACGGGCCCTGGGGGCGTGGCCTGGGGAAGGGCTCCCCGGGATGGAGCCTTAGGGGCGTGGCCTGGGGCGGAGACCTGCAGGTGTCTGAGGGCGTGGCTTGGGGTGGGGCAGCCGAGGGC